CAATATAAAGAACCAACTTTTTATTTTTTAGAGAAAATTAATTTGTATACTTCTTGGCCGGCGTCTGTAGGTGTCTATGAACATTTTATCCATATATGAATCACTGATCTCAAAAAGTTTTTAGACATATCTAAATTAAAATTTAAGTAAGCAATTAATTAATTAATCATGGATTTCTATGCAGTAAGTATAAATTTTGTACTGTCTTTCCTCTCGTCATCCATCTAACTAATCTTGGCATAATGCTTGTTGTCTACGTCTCTTTTACCAACTTAATTGCCTTTCCTTTCTAATTCCTGTCTCTTCTTGTTTTCTTCTGAAAATTCCTGCGAAAGCATATACACACACACACACACGAATATACCTGTGTGATTCAGCACACGTTTAGTCAAAATTCATTTTACTTTTAAAAATATAAATAAATAAATATATAGTGTATAAATATGGCATATAGTTATTATAATGTGAATATATGCAAAAATATTACTATATGCTATAAAAATTATTTTATGTTTTAATAACAAATTTTAAATAACCTTCTCAAAGAAATTTAATAAGTACGAATTTAATTGTTGAATAAAATCCAAAGAATAATATTTTAGTGTCATTTATTGATTAATATCATAATTTCTTCTTGATAACAGTACACATATTACCTTATTAAGGGGATCAAATCTAAATTAGTTTTTTTTAAAAAAAAAAAAAGAAAAAAAAGATAATGTAGAAATATTATTTATTGTTCAAAATATTCACATGTAGTACATATTCCATACTTTTGATTATCCTAAGCAGTATATTTTAAAATAAATATTCATGTATCTCTTATAATTATATAACAAAATATTTTATAAGAAAAAACAGTACATCTTGAATTAAATTTACCCTTTAAAAACAAAAAAAAAAAAAGAAGGTGTATAGAACATGCCTCGGCATCAAATAATTTGTTTTTTTTTATTTATTTATAAAAAAGCACGTTTTGGATGATATAATTATATATGCCATGCCATGTGATCAGGATTCAACACGTGCGTAAAGAATCTTGGTTACCTTATTACTAATTTATTTAAAGAGTCGTTAGTGATTTTTTTGGAGCGCCAGGCACAGAACACAAGTTACTACGCCCAAGTTGCTTACAAAACTGGTACATACGTATATATTAAAAATAAAGTTGGCAGACCTAACTAAACCTAAACATCGTCGTTGGTAATTTGGATTCTAATAATTAGGGTCCACAATATTTAGTTTTGTCGTTTTTTTTTTTTTTTTTAAAATATATATATATAGAAATTATACGGGTATAGAAAGTATAGTTTGAATTAATTATCTCCTACTCATTAATATACAATTTCATAATTAAAAAAACAAGTTTAAGATCATTAGATTAAGTTAATGTGTGTATGTCGGGCATAGTGAGATGTATTAACAGGAACAAGTAGTGATGTTAGATAATTTTTTTTAAAAAATAAATTTAAATATTTAAAATAAATAAATAAATT